GCGCGCTCCTGCTCGGCCGCCGCGCTCCGGAGGGCCCTGCCAGCAGGGGGCCGGCGGAAGCCAGGCGGCAGCCGGCCTGTGGCTCCGCGTGCGTCCCGCTGGGTCGTTGGTCAGGCCTCTGGCTAGCCCGGGCCGGAGAGGGCGCGGCTGCGGCCCTCGGCGGCTGCGGCCCACGCACCGGCCAGTCTGGAGCGCAGCCCGGCGAGCGCGGGCTGCAGGCGCGGGAGCCCCCCCGCCCCGTGACCTTGCACGGTCGCCGCCCTCCGCGCGCCCCAAGCGGCGCCTTCCCTGAGGCTGACATCCCGAATTAGGGGCTGCGGGCTGATGGCCGAGGCTGGCAGGGCTGGGTGAGGAGGGCGACAGCTAGGCAGAAGAGGAGACAGGCCGGGCGGCAGCTGGGCGGCGGCGCGGGGCGGGAGGCCGACGCGCAGAGAAGGCGGCGGCGCGGCCATCTGGCGCCAGCAGCTCACCTGCGCCTTGCTCGGAGCCCAGCCCGCCGCGCTGCAGGCCCACTCTTGTGCCCGCCACTCGGGACACGAGCCCGGTCAGAACTGGCTTGCCTGGAGTCCACCAGCACGGCCCAGGCTGGGTCCGGAGAAGGCCGAAAGGGTGCAGCTTCCGGGGGACAGCGTCCGACCCAGCTTCCCACTCCTAGACGCAGACTTGCCAGATTTTTAAAATACTAAACTGTGGGGAGAAAGGTGGCATAAGTATTCTTGTTTATTGTCGTGCGATGGGGCGTGGACCAGGTGCGACAGGGCTCCTGGCGTGGGGGGAAGGAAAAGCTCTCTGAATTTCACGAATTTCCTTAGCTGAAGTGGTGTTTCAGGAAGAAGAGTTGATTAGGAGAGTTTTGTGTGTAAAAAGGTATTTCCCATTCATAGCTGCGAGTGTGAGCCACACTGTAGTCTTCACTTCCGTCTTGCCAGAAGATCAGCTATTCCTTTGGGAGCCTTTGCTTTGGCACCTTAGCTTATGTGAAGCTTTTAAGGATTTTTTATTTTTATGGTACTGGAAATCAAACTCAGGACCTTGTCCTTGCCAGGCAGGTGCTTAGGCCACTGAGCTAAATCTCCAGCATCTTATGTGAACCTTTTTTTAAAAAAGCTTTTTTTTTTTTTTTTGAGATAGTGTTTCACTATGCAGTACAGGCTGGCCTAGAACTCACTATGCAGGATGGCCTCACATTTACAGTGACCCTCCTGCCTGAGCCTCCCAAGTGCTGGGATTACAGGCATGTTTCGCCATGCCTGGCTGCTTATGTGTGTCAACCCCAGATGTTCCTACAATTTATATGTAGTATAAAATGAACCAGAGCTGTTCGATCAGCAGTGCTTGAACCAGTAATCTTTTAAGTAAAATTCTGCCCCACTGTCATTGTAGGAGAGAAATAAAAAGCTCTCTGGAGCGTAGTGCGAAGGCAGCAAGGCCATGCACAGTCTGTCAGCAGAAGCGCTCTGCAGAGGAGGGACACACTTGCTGGCTTTCACATGAGCCAGAAGCTAGGTCTGAGTCTGGCTCCACCGGAGAAGGCAGGAGAGGCCTTGCCAGGAGTAAGTCGCCCAGGGGCCTGGATTCCCAAGCAGTCAGGTGGAGGAGGACGACCCCTGGAACCCATGCTGGGGGCTCAGGCACGGGTTTCTTCTGAACAGGATTCCGCGCACCCAGGGCGAGGACAGTGTTGGGGGGCACCCTGCGCCGCTCTCCCTGGAGGAACGTTTCCCTAGCGCCAGGCTGGGCTAGCCCTGCAGCCGCACGGCTCCTATCAACCTACCACCCGCCGCCTTCTGGAGCTCTGCTCCAGCTCCTTGCACCCCTCAGGAACAGGGCGGACAGTCCTGGGGCTTCCTCCTCTTCCAGGGAGGTCACAGCCTTCTGTGTTGCACCAGCCTCCTCCCTGCATCGCGCCCCTAGTCCTCCTCCTGCATGCCAGCACCCCCAGCCCTGCACCCCCACATTTTGCCGCTGCTGGTGTAGGTGGGGCGGAAGACGTGGGCCACGCGTGAAGAACGCGCTGTTGCTAGGAAAGGAGTGTGGGTGACGAGAGGGGGTGGGCGGGAGAAATAGGGCTCCCCGGTTTCATGCCTCCTGCTCTCATCATAAATGCCTCGAAACGAAAACCAGTTGTTGAAGCTTTATTATGAAAAAGAATGAGTTCCGGCCATGACAGACGCAGCCTCAGAAACAGCTGCGGGGCTGCTATTTGGTTATTTGTAAGTGTCCTAAGAGGGGTGGGGAGCAAAGTGAACGGATGCCCAAGGATCCGCCAAGCTGTGGCCCTCCAGGGGCCGGCCTCCTCTGCCCTGATCCAAGCTACACCTCTCAGAAACAGTCCTACGGAACTTCAGCTTGAAGCCTGCAGTGTAGTCCCAGCAGAAGGGCATCCTGCGCACACAACTCCGCAACTCTCCTCTCACTGCGCCCTCAGTGGGCCATCGCACAGCTCGGCACCCAGCCTGGCTTGCCCCCATCTGCGGAGGCTCTGTGTCCTGGGGTCTCCTGGGCCTCGGGCACGCAGGATGCGCCCTCTCTCCTCCTCACAGCCTCCTGTTGCCTTGCCCATGGCCACAGAGTTGGGGGAGGTGAAAGTGGAAAAATGAAACTGGACACAAGGCCTACCCAGGAGCCCCTGCCATGCAGGAGGCCCAGGTGACAGGCTCACCTGAGCCGGAGTCCAGCCTGGGCAACCCAGGGAGATGCCAGCTCCAAAGAGGAGAAAAATGAAAGAAGGAAGAACTTCCCAGGCCCTCCCACCACCCCACTCTTTCTACTACAGCACACTCTCTTTCCTACTTTTGTGTCTTTTTTTTTTTCCACTAGGGGTTGAACTTATGGCCTTGTGCACACTAGGTAAGCGCTCTACTACTGAGCTACAGCCCAGCCCACTGCCCCATCCCTTGTTCCCACAGCATATCACCCCATTCCGGTCTCCTAAGCGGCTTTGCAGCTTTTAAATCAACTTTGGCCATGGTAATAGAACCTACTGGATTCCAAGAGAGTTTCAGAAGTTCTGGGAAATGTTTGTGCCCACTGAACACAGGCAGTTCCTGAGCTGGGTGCCAGGTCTTCCCTGCACCCCAAGCAGCCAGCATTCTCTCCTCAGATGTAGAGGTGGACCAGCTGGCCCCCCATCATTTCCTGACATACGCATGGACCAACACATTATCAAGGACCAAGATTTGGAGGAACAGGAACAAAGAAAGTCAGTAATAAAAATAAAATACCAGGTCACAGGAGGATTTTTATTACCAGGTTGAAAAAAAGCTCTGCGGGGGAGGCACCACGAGCCAAGCATTCACCAGGATGAAGTCATTGGGCTGT